GCAGGAGACATTTTATTAATGAAGAGCTTCCACTAAATCACTCTACTATGGTAAAGGAGCCCTTGGGCATCAGTGCTTTCACCTGTCACTGGAAACCAGAATGAAAAAAACAACTATTTCTTTATTCATTGTGGTGTAGTAAAAGAAGCATAGATGCTGAGGATGGAAAGATTTAGGTTTGAAGTTTCTCCCACAAGCTCCTGCTTTGGTTGTTATTACACAACTTCTGAGTTTCAGTTGCCAGCTATAAAATGGGAAAGATGCCACTTATGTATGAAATGTTGTAAATGTTAAATGAGATAATGTTGGTCAACTGCTTACAAATGGGCCTGGTGCACAGAATTATATCATTGAAGACATAACCACTATTATTTTTTACTTATTAAAATTTTAATTGAGGGCTAACTTCATCATAGGCATTGTATCATAGCTGAGTCGATGGGCAAATCACATTTGTATATTTTAGCCCAAACTTGTACTTGTCAGCACTCATACCTTTTAGACATTCTCCTCAAATAGTTTTCCACCTTGTATGAGGATTCGTTCTCCTTGGGAAGAGAGTAAAGAATGTAAGTGAGAAAGGACAAGACTGTCATTGGGACACAAAATTGATAACCTGCCCCAGAATGCAATGTGCCACCATGAAAATGATTTAGAGACTGTAGAATCTGCCAAAGTTAATCAAGGAGTATTAACAGCTTGTTGAAATTCCTTATATTTAAGGAGGTGAGGAGGGGAGAGATAGGCAGAAAAAGGAGTCTATTTCGTAGCTAAATGTTCAAAGGCAGAAATGTAAAAAGCCCGTAATGTTTAGCCCAGATCATCAGCCCCAATATATTGTGAGTTGGCTCTAGATTTTACACTGATCTCCTCTCCTCGTTTAATAGCTCATCTGAATTTCTTTTTTTTTTTTTTAAAGTAGTAAAGGTTCAACATGAAGACCAAAAATTTTCAACCTAGAACACAAACAGTTGCTGTGCAACAACAGTAGAGTGCCTCCTCATTTAAAAATATAAAATTAACCACCTTTAAATATTTTTTTCCTGAATTAAGAATATTTGATAACTGAAATCCACTGGAAGAATATTTGCTCCTTTTCTCACACAGTTTCAATGGCTTATTCTGCTGTATATGTTAATAGCCCATATTGCTTGTATCTCTACAAGTAGAATGTTTCTTCCAGATTCTTTCATAGACCTTTGATAGCTCTCAGTTGCTTGAAGGCTGTAAGCCAGGGATCATTCAGGGACTTTGTCATCCTCAAAAACTTGAACTGACTTCTCCAGGGGAAAATTGCCAAGTTTTTTTTTTTGGATGAATTTCTTCAGCAAAGATTTCATTTGGCATATGTAACGAAAATTACGTTATCCTTTCCCATTTATTTCACTATTTAACCAATAAACATCCCTTCCTGGAATGGACTCTGAAGTATAATTTTGCTGCATCTTTTTGCCCTCATAAGTAAGTATGATGGTCAAGCTGTGTGCATGACAGGTGATAGAAATGTTGATGGGATCGGATTAAGTGTAAGTGCAATTTTTAGTTTATCACAGTTACTTCATTCAAGCTTAACTGTAATTGGAAGATTGTGACAAAATGCTTCACAGTATTATATAAAACAAAAGTTTTATATCCTTGCACTAATAGTATTTAATGTAACAATCTAACAAAAATAATGAATAATGAATTGATAATGAATATATCCAAATTTTCAGGTAGGACTTTAACTTCAGTTTAAGCAATTTTGTATTACATGAAATTAGTTGTTTATTGCTTGAATCTATTTTGTTTTACTATCAATCTTTTAAAAAACATTTTCTACAGCAGTGCTTTTCAAGCTTAAGTGTGCTTTAGAATCACTTGGAGGGCTTGTTAAAACATTGCTGGATCTCCCTTGCTTCCTCTTTTTCCCCCCAGCCTCCCACCCCCAAGGTTTTGATTCAGTAAGTCTGGGGTGAGGCCTAGAATTTGCATTTTTAACGTTCCCAGGTGAAGCTGCCACTGCTGGTCATGGACACACTTCGAGAACTATTGATCTAGACATTGTGGTATAAGGAGAGAAGAGTCTTAGGAAACGGGTTCTGGTACCACTGACTCCTCCACACACACACTGGGTAACTTTAAATTAATTTTCCTCTGGGAGAATCATATTTTAGTTTATGAGATAGGGATAAGAATGCTTGTCCTGCCTACCTCCCTCCCTCCAAGGGAGGATCAAAGACCACACTCAGGTAAATACAGGGGACAGAATAGAAATTGCTCAATGGAACTCCTGGCACTTCTCAAGCTATTATTTACAAAAGAGTACTTTGAATTAATTGAGAAGACCTGTGTTATAGAATGGGAATTCAAACCTCTTGGTTTTCTAAGAGTTGTCTTAATTTATATGCTGCATAAATAGTAATATTTGTAGGGAACCTCAGGACTCCAACGTATAATCAGGTCAGAGGAGCTGATTACAGAGACAGTAAATTAATCTTCTTTTAGTTTGAATTAGCATAGAAACTTGGTCCTGCATCGGCATTTACTTAAGAAGACCTCCCTCTTCTACTTATTCTTTCACTCATTCTGCAAGCATCTATTGAGGGCCCACTGTGCGTTGGGCACTGAGCTAAGAGGTGCAGTTACAGAGATGCATTCATTGTGCTCACAGCCTGCTAAAATACTTACTTATAATTCACAGTGATAACTGTTCTGCAGAGGAATGTGCTAAGCAGTGCAGGAGCACAGAGGAGGGAAAACCTGATTCTGCCTGAAGGGGTCAGAGAAGCCTTCCAGTTAATGTTGCTTTCTTTAAAGAGTGAATGTAGAGATACAGTTGAGTCAGTTCCAAAGTCCCAGTCAAATGTATCACCCCCCTAATCCAAAAGAAAGAGGAGAGTTGAACAGAGAGGAAATGCAGTATTTATTTAAGGAAAACAAATATAGCAATATATGATTCAGTCAGTTTTAAATACTTTTGCTCCTGAAGACTAGGTCAATTTATTTGTTCATCCATTCCTGCACCTACTCATTCATTCAATCTCTATATAATTCCCCTAATCTAAACATTTCAGGGGCTTTTCAAGCACTTCACATAAAATCTCAACTATTGTCATGGCTCATAAGGCTATGCACAATGTGGCTGTAATATGGCATAATATGGTCACTGCCTCCCTCACTCTTCCACTTTCCTCTATGCTCTCTTGGTCCACACTGGCTGCCTCTTGATTCCTTGATCAAACTAATGCCTTTGCATTTGTTATTTCTTCTACCTGGCTTTTTGCATAGCTATCTCATGCCATCCCCTGGTTTCAACATATATGTTTCCTTTTCAAGATGTCTTTCCTGCTGACCAAATCTAAGGTCTTCCCCTCACTCTCATAATCCTTTACCTGAGTTTATCAGACCACTCTGTGTTCTCTTCCATTGTAGTAATAGCATCTCACAGGTTTAAAAGAAATATTAGTTTGGTACTTGTTTGTTATCTTCCTCCTTTATTCTGTCTTGTCTCAAGTACAATTCTTTGCATAAAAGAGGTTTTTAATACCCATTTGTAGAATCAATAAATATTTTTAGAACACTTGCCAGGATTAGAAAAGTAATTGTCAATACTTGGCCTGATGTGAAGTTGGAGAACTTTTTTTTTTGGCTGGACCGCACAAGTAAGGGCAAGCTGAATGGGGATCCCAAACAAGTGCTCATCTTTCTGAATAGTGAGGTTGGGGTTTTAGAGCTTCCTCCCTGTGATTTCACTCCCAGCAGGAGCAAAGAGGAATTTGCGTGCCGGTAACACAGCCACGGCAGCTGTTGCCACTCCTTTGCCTCCCTAAGCAACCATTCCCCGTCTTCTGAGGGTTGTTGTTATAGATTTAGAAAAGTATTCTGGGGAGATGATGAGATTCTACCTAGAGTAAGACCTTTCTCTCAGGTTTACCAACTAGCAAGAATTTATTAAATACCCAGAATGCATATCATTAGAGAAGGTAGGTAAACTGTGTTATATTTTAATGCAACTCGATACATTTTTTATTTTTAAATAAAATGTCTTTTTTATTATTAATAGGGAAGGCAATAAAAAGGAATAAAGGTTTTTGATATATGAATTCCAGGGCCTTAAGATGCTTCCAGCTTAGTTGGGAAGATAGGAAGTGTGGTTAGGTAACTGTTAAATTAAAATGTGAAGAAATTTGTAACCGTAAAATGGAATGATTTCCACTGAGTTTTACTTCCCTATATGCACATGTGTGCTCATTGGTTAATGTGTGCTCCAATTTAATAATGAGTACATGTGGTGTTTGAGATACTTCACTTAAGAGAATGGTTTCCAGTTCCATCCAAATTGTTGCAGAAGGCATAAATTCATCCTTTTTTATGGCTGAGTAGTACTCCATGGTACACATATACCACATTTTATTGATCCACAAGCAGAGGTGAGGGGGGAGATGGGGAGGGGAAAAAAACCTACCTAATGGGTACAGTGAACACCATTTGGGTAATGGGCACACCTATAGCCGTGACTCAGATATTACAAAAGCAATCCATGTAACCAAAAGCATTTGTACTTCTTTAATATTTTGAAATAAAAAAAAATGGAATGAGCAAATTTGGCTTTGAATGCTTTAGGACTAGGGGTTATATTCTTATAAAATTGCTCTATCCCTGCTGAAGACTAGCCATGCTCTCTGAGGTAAAAGAACTCATGGCCTAGGCTAAGGCAATATTGTTCAGTAGAACTTTCTGCAATAGGGCCATATCTTATGATCTTTGCTGTCCAGTAAGGTAGCCATTAATTACATGTGACTTTTGGGCACTTGAAATGTGACTGGTGCAACTGAGGAACTGAAACTTTAATTTACATTAAATTAAATTGAAGTAAATTAAATTTAAGTGACCACATATGGCTAGTAGCTATTCTATTGAACAGCTCAGGTCTAAAAGGAAAAACAGAATTTGTGTCCACTGGAAGGTACGGTAGAACCAATTCTAATTATGTCTATGTTAAAAAACTTTATGGCTCGTTGGGCAGTAGTGCAAGCGGCTTCTATGTTCAGTTCTTGAGCCCGGCAGCCGCCGCTCGTGCTGAGCTGCTAGGAATCCCTGTCAGCGAGCTCGTAGGAGCTTGAAACCATCGTCGCGCCTCCGTAGATTCACCGGGGAAAAAATGGTTGAAGCAGATCGCCCAGGAAAGCTCTTCATTGGAGGGCTTAATACGGAAACAAATGAGAAAGACCTTGAAGCGGTATTTGGCAAATATGGACGAATAGTGGAAGTACTCTTAATGAAAGACAGAGAAACCAACAAATCAAGAGGATTTGCTTTTGTCACCTTCGAAAGCCCAGCAGATGCTAAGGATGCAGCCCGAGACATGAATGGAAAGTCTTTAGATGGAAAAGCCATCAAAGTGGAACAAGCCACCAAACCATCATTTGAAAGTGGTAGACGTGGACCACCTCCACCTCCAAGAAGCAGAGGCCCTCCAAGAGGTCTTAGGGGTGGAAGAGGAGGAAGTGGAGGAACCAGGGGACCTCCCTCACGGGGAGGGCACATGG